CCCATCACCTATAGCAGTGTTTGACATACATTAGGTGCTCAGTAAATATCCATGGAATGACCACCTGACTGAATGAATTAAAGAATGACTAAATGAAGGAAATACAGCCCAGAGAGAGCACAGATTCTTCAAGGTCATTTTCCTGCTGGTAGTGCTTTCATAGCCCTGGCCCCTGGGAGTTCATCTGTCTCGCACCTTGGTTTCTGATCCTTAACCAATTACTCCCTCCACTCCAGCTGATGCAACTGAAAAGACCCTGTGAAGCCCCTCTAGTGGGTGGTTGAAGCCCACTCGTTCCACTCAGTGGGCACAATAAAGGAGTCTTTAGCTGTCTTATCCAAACATCCTTTTTGCCCAGCACACTCTTACCATAGAACTCAAGAAGGGATAGCTCCAAGGAGAAAATAAAAGTGATAGAATTCCTAATGTGTTTCAATATAGTCAAGGTAGATTTTCAGCTCTGTCATAGAGCTTAGGGATGAAATAGTGATTGGTACACAGAAAACTAAGGTTAGTAGCAACAACCTCATACACACACACACACAACCCACAAGGCAATCACTAACTCTAGGAAAAACAAAAAAACAAGAGAAGAAATGTAATCACAGAGCACTACAATCTCATTTAGGAATAAAAGTCAGATAATTATAAAATTGTATTGAAGGATTTTATGGGCAAAATATCGAATGATGCAGGAAGCATCAAAAGAAGATGGAAGAAATACACAGAATCCATGTACCAAAAGGAACTGTTCAACCATTTCAAGAGGTAGCATATGATCAAGAACTGATGGTATTGAAGGAAGAAGTCCAAGCTGCACTGAAGGCATTGGCAAAAAACAAGGCTTCAGGAATTGACGGAATACCAATTGAGATGTTTCAACAAATGGATGCAATGCTAGAAGCACTCACTCATCTATGCCAAGAAATTTGGAAGACAGCTACCCGGCCAACCCACTGGAAGAGATCCAAATTTGTGCTCATTCCAAAGAAAGGTGATCCAACAGAATGTGGAAATTATCGAGGATGGTGAGACTTCGTCTCACTTACTTTGGACATGTTATCAGGAGGGACCAGTCCCTGGATAAGGACATCATGCTTGGTAGAGTAGAGGGTCAGTGAAAAAGAGGAAGACCCTCAAAGAGATGGATTGACACACTGGCTGTAATAACGGACTCAAACATAGTAACTATCGTGAGGATGGTGCAGGACCAGGCAATGTTTCCTTCTGTTGTGCATAGGGTCACTATGAGTCGGAACCGACTCGACAGCACCTAACAACAAAAACAACAATTATAAAAATGTAAATATTGAATATTAATTTAACCATTAATGATGCTGTAACTATAGTGGTAAGACGGGAGAAGGAGTAATATCTGTGTATTTGTGGTATGTGTATAAGGGAACTTAGCACTCAGCTTTCCTGGAGGAAAGTGAACAGTATCATATCTGTAATAGAGACCACTAATAGTCCCCCAATGTCTTCCTTAGTAGGAGAACCTCATGTTTAAGGTGGGTACCTGGCCACCTAGTGCTAAGACACTGTTTCCCAGCCTCTCTTGCAGCTAGATGTAGCAAGACACTTAGTTCTAGTCAATGGAATATGAGCAGAAATATCTTCTTCAACTTCCAGCTTCCTGATCCACCGAAACGGTGAGATAATAAATGTTTGTTGTTTAAGCTATTAAGTTTTGGAGTAATTTGTTACTGAGCAATAGATAAATGAACACACTCAGATATAGATTTCTAGAATCTCTTCAGCCATGTGGAAGGCCTATCTATAGTGGGAGCTGTGTTTACAAATTTGGGGATTCACAGATATTAGTATATATCCTTTCTCAAAAATCTACATTTCTTCCTACTCCTTTTATTGTGTTGATATTTTTAACCAACATACTATCAAACTGTATTGACAATTACACATTCTATTTTTTCTGCTTAATCCTGTGTAAGTGTTCTCTCACCTGATTAAATATTCTTCAAAGCATTCTTTATATATATAGTGCTCTAGGTGAAAGTTTATAGCGCAAGTTAGTTTCTCACTCAAAAATTTATTGTTTTGTATTATTTTGTATCATTGGTTGCAATTCAGATTGTTTTGTGACATTGGTTGCAATCCCTACAGTGTGACAGCACCTCCTCCTTTCCATCCTGGGTTCCCCGTGTCTGTTTGTTCAGTTTTCCTGGCCCTTCCTGCCTTCTCATCTCGCTTTGGGGCAGGAGTTGTCTATTTGGTCTCGTACATTTGATTGCACTAAGAAGCAGATTCCTCACGTGTGTTGTTGTTTGTTTTATAGGCCTATCTAATCTTTGGCTGAAAGGTGGACTTAGGGAGTGGCTTCAGTTCTGAGTTAGCAGAGTGTCCAGGGGCCTTCGTCTTGGAGGTTCCTCCAGTCTCTGTCAGACCAGAAAGTCTGGTCTTTTTTGTGAATTTGAATTTTGTTCCACATTTTTCTCCCACTGTCCAGGACCCTCTATTGTGATCCCAGTTAGAGTGGTTGGTGGTAGCTGGGCACCATTCAGTTCTTATGAGCTCAGGCTGGTGGAGGCTGTGGTGCATGTGGTCCTTTAGTCCTCTGGGCTCATATTTTCCTTGTTTGTCTTTGGTTTTCTTCATTCTCCTTTGCTTCAGACAGGATGGGATCAATAGATGTATCTTAGATGGCTGCTTGCAAGCTTTTAAGACTCCAGATGCTACTCACCAAAGTAGGATGTAGAACATTTTCTTTATGAACTATGCTATGCCAGCTGACCTAGATGTCCCCCAAGACTAAGGGCCCCAGCCTCAAAGCTTTCCTTATTCTTAGCAGCTATTCAGTAGTCCTTCCTACGAGCGTACCAACATTAATTTAATCACTTGCCCCTCTTATTTGTTTTGAGCTTAGAGTTTTACCCGCTGGGGTCATATCTGTCAGCATGTGCCAGCTCTTCCATCCAGGGCCTGCAGTGAGAGTATAGGGAAGATAGAAGGCAGGATCGCCTGTGATTAAGTGCTCCTGACTCTTGAATCAAGTCTAGCCGTTTCCTAGCTATGTGACCTTGGGCTTGTTACTTAACCCCTCTGGGCCTCAGTTTCCCCTTCTGAACTGTGGGGGTGACAACAACATCTACTTCACAGAGTTATTGGAGGAGCTATTGAGTTAATAAAACACTTCACACGGTGCCTGGCATGTTTTAGGGTATATGGGCACAAGCTAGGCCACAGTATCTTCAGCCCTCTGTGGAGTCCTGGTCCAAGGTACCTAATATCGACTCTTGTCTTGGGTTCCAGCCCTTCTCCCTTCAACAGCTTCTTGGCTCCCCTCCCCCCGTCTGCTCTCCCTGAACCTGCTGGTGACACCAGCTCCGCCACTTGCCACAATCCTGCAACCACCACACCTACCCTTGTGGTGTGACCCCAAGCAAATCCATTCCATCCCTGGGCCTCAGGTTCCTCATTTGTAATATGGGAAGGGGGTATAGATTAGGTGGTCCGTGAGGGATTACCTACCTCTAAGATTCTAGACTATTCACTCTTCTCTCAAAGATCCTTTGGTTTCAACTTTATAGAGCTTTCAACAACTGGCCAAATCAAAAAGACTGGAAAACACTTTATTTCCCATAACATATGTGCTGAGGCTTGCGCTCAGCATCCTGGAGTATGCTAAATACTAACATAGTGTCTTGCTTCCATGTGTGTGAAAATCCAGGCACAGACCTGGGATTTTCCATCTCAAACCCCCTGAGAGTGTCCATCTGGAGTCTGAGTGAGAAGCCCCTCTCTCCGAGCAGATGCAGCTGAGTCCCCTCCTGGTGGCAGCCCCTGCTCTTCCAGCTGCCATCAGCCCAGGCCAAGCAGCGAGGAGGGGGGGAGAGCTGCTGCGGAGGGCCTGGGGGGAGGGGTACAGGAGTAGACACAGGCCTGGTGAAACAAAGGCCTGTGAACCTGGCACTTGCTTGCGAACAACCTTGCACCTGCCCCTTCCCTCATTCTTTCCTCCTGCCGTTTGGGCTGACATGAAGGATTCTCAAAAGCCCACCCACCGCAGCCTTCCTGGGGCAGGGAGCTGTTCTGGAATAGCCTGAAGAGCTGATCTTTCAAGATCTCCCCAGAGTTCTTGGCATGGCCATGGGTACTCAGCCCTCTTAACTTGGAAGAAATCCCTGGGAGACTGTTCCAGGCCTTTCCCCACTCCAACCCATAGTCGCCAAGATCCTCCTCGGCATGGAGCGCACTGCTGAGGGAAGAGAAAAGTCCACACCTGGGCTCCTCCTTGGCTTCTCCCTGCCCAACCTTGAACTCTGGATGGGCCCCCAGCTCTGCAGTACCAGACTGCAGGGCTCGAGAAGAGAGCCCTGCCCTACTCCCGGCACCAGCCTCAGTTCCCAGGACTTTAACCTTCAGGGCACCTGGGCCAGGATCCCACCAGGAGAGAGGGGAGCAGAGGGCAATGTTTCTGGTCCCAGTAAAGGCTGTGTGACCTTGGACAAGTCACTTGGTTTCTCTGAGCGTCTGTTTCCTTATCTGGGAAAGTGGAGTGACAATCTGGACTTTGCAGCTCTCCAGTGAGGTTGAAACAAGATAGTAGGGGTGGCAGCCCTGCCACAGTGGTAAGCAAAGGCTTCCTTTTCCCCCAGGGCTTCAGAACGGTTAGTTCCAGTTCAAACCCCTGCTGAGAATTTGCATTTCCACCCCAGATGTACTGAATGAGAATCTATACTTTAATAAGATCCCCAGGTGATTCTTATGTATAATAAATTTTTAGAACCACTGCTCTACTAGTGGTTCTCAGAATTGGTCCCTAACCAGCACCATTAGCATCGCCTGGGAACTTGTTCCAAACGCAAATTCTCAGCAGGGGTTCAACCCCAACCAACCGGTTCCACAGCCCTGCTTTTCCCTGTGAAATCCTGGGCCAGCTGGTCAGCCCTGGGCAGCGACCAGTGAGGACCAAGGGGATACCCATGTGCTAAGGCTGCTTCCTGGGCCTTTTAGGGGCCAGCCCGGCTCCAGGAACAGGATTAGAAGTGGACGCGAGCAGAAGAGAGCAGAGAGAAGGCCGGGAGACGGCAGGGCCGGAGACTCACACCCAGCCCTTGCCAATTCGCTGTAGACAAGGCGGGTGCCGGCAGGTGCTCCCCGCTCTGCGGCCTTGGAAGTCCCCAGGGAGCCAAGGGGCTGTGGGGCGAGGACCCCAGCTTCCCTCCAGTGGGGTGTTCCCACCCAAGGGGCTGCAGAGGGGCAGTCAGGGCTGGGGGGCTGGGCAGGAGGGCGCTGAACTCCAAGGAAGCCCCCAGCAGGCTGGAGCAAGCGGTGGAGAGAGGCGGGACAGGGCCGGGGGACAGCTGGGCAGGAGGCGCAGGGACCTCAGCGGGGTCCACGGACAGTGAGGGCAGAGGGGACGCGAGGAGGCCCCGGGGATCGTGAGGCTGCAGAGCTGGAGAGAGGTGCTGAGCCGGCGGCGGGGAAGCTGGGGTCTGGAAGGGATCGGGCTGCTCCACGCAGCCGTGCGGCCCAGGGCGCCCTGGGGCGGAGAGAAAGGCGCATTGCACCGGGCACAGGCGCTCATGCAGGCGCAAGGTCCGGCTCCACCACACCAGCTCGGCCTGCAGGGCCTGGATCTCCTTCCGCAGGGCATGGTTGTGCTTCTCCAGTGACTCGTGCTGCTGGGGGGAGAAGCAGGTGGGCGGGGAGGGGGTCGTCAGCCAGCAGCGGGGCCCATCATGAGTCCCCCACCCCCAGGGACCTGGACCTCAAAGGGAACGATACCACCACCCCTCTGAATGTCCTAGCTGGGCCCTCTGGCTGCTCAATCCCCAGCCCTCCTACCGTTCTACCTCCTAGTAGGACCCCATCTCCCCGTCTCTCTCCTTCCCACCTCCTCTTACCTGAGCTGCCATCACTCTCACCTGGGATCTCCAGCCGCCTCCTGACCGGATCCCAACCCACTGCCATCCAGTTGATTCCGATTCATAGTGACCCCGTAGGACAGAGTAGAACTGCCCCATAGGGTTTCCTAGGCTGTAATCTTTACAGAATCAGACTGCCACATCTTTCTCCTGCGGAGCAGCTGGTGGGTTCAAATCGCCAACCTTATGGCAGCAGCTGTGCTCTTAACCACTGCACCACCAGGGCCCCTTTCCCTAACTGGCCCAGCCCCAAACCACCTCATTCTCCTGGCAGCAGCCAGAGGCGCTTCCCAAAGCACACAGCGACAGTGTCGTTGACCATACATTTAAGCCCTGTAGTGGTGCCCACGAGTCCTAGGGTCCAACCTCCCCTGCAATGGATTCAAGGCCTGCGCAGGCCAGGCGGCACCAGGTCACGTCCCGGCTTTCTCACGCACGCTCCTCTTTGCTCCCCCTCACTTCCTGTTCCTAGAATGGATCGTGCTTCCTGGACACATTTCCTGTTCCCTCTGCCTGGCCACCTCCCCTTGTCCCCTCCACCCCTCACTCCATGCTAATCCTTACATGGCCTTCATGTGCAACTTAGATATCTGTCACTCTGCCCTGGACACCCTGGGCTGCTTAGTGCTGCTGCCATGTGCTCCCCAGTGCCCCGAATGCACCCGTCAAAGCACAGGCTCTCCTAGGGGTCCTGGTTTATAGGCTGACAGCTCAGCATCCCTGAATCAGCATTTATTAAATTCTGTTCTGCCGAAGAACAGTGGGTTCTGAGGACCCACGGGGGCAATAACCTACGTGCAGCTCTAAATAACCATTTATGATGACAACAATAGTGAAAAATGCCAAAAAATATTCCTGTGTCCTGGTGGTATCCTCCCTACACGGAGGAAAAACAAACCCTGAGGGTCCAGCTGCCATCCAAGGTCAAGCAGCAAGTTCATAGTGGAGCCTTCCACGCCCGCGCCAGGCTCCTCTGCCTCCTCCAATCAGTTGTCTCCTCTAGTCTCCACAAGGATCCTGGCCAGTGGGCAGGGATTATTGCCCCATTTTTCAGATGAGCAGAGTGAGGCTCAGTGAAGTAAGCCATTTGGAGTTAATGAGGCTGCAGCTGGGACCCTATCCAACTGGTATTAACCTTGAACCAGAGTTTCTCATAGACCATGCACATCAGAACCCTGACAGTGATTAATCCTAATTCAGCTCCTGCGGCCCATCCCAGCCACATGAGGTGGGACTTCCGGGCAGGGGGTGCCCAGGAATGTACATTTTAACAAGTGTCTCAGCTGATGTGCTCTTCACTGTGCTGGGTTCTCCCTATTTGCCTCCACTTCCTGTCTCCCCTCCTCTCAGATTAGAGGCACCTTGAAGGCAGGGCCCCATTGCCCAGTGTGGACCTGGCACATGGTTTGCACTCAATACCGAGGTATTTCCAAATCCAGCCACTGGGCCCTTCCCTCCTCCCAAACTCAGGTGACCCAGGAAAATGCAGCGGTTTAGGGAATAACTGTGCACAGGCAGGATGGATATGAAAGAGGTGGCCTCCAGGTTAGTGCGGGTCAGGGCGTGGAGGGAGGGTGCCCCCACCTGGTGCAGGGCATCCGCCTTGTCGATCTGCCTCTGCCGGCTGCGCTGGGCGGCGGCCTGGTTCTTCTGTTTCCTCTTCAGCTGCCTCTGATACTCCTCGGGCTCAGGGCCCTGCAGGGTGGGAGGCAGAGGGCTCAGGGGTCTGCCGTTGGTAAAGCCCTGTCCTTCCCCTGAGTCAAGACCCCGAGGGTCCCCTTCTCCCAGAAGCCCTCTCTGCGCCCTCAGCGCCCACACACCCCATCGTAGGGGCTCCCAACTCATCCATCTCATGGTAACGCCAGCCCCACCACACGTCCCGCTCACAGCTCATGTGGGGACAACGACAAGTGGGGAAGTGGATTTAATTAAACACATGGGGCCTGGGATTCGAACCCAGACTGACTGACTTCCAATCCCACATTCTCTCCTACAAGCCATGTGGCTCTGGGCAAGTCCCTCACTGCTCTGAGCCCCAGCCACCTCACCTGTAAACCCCAGGGGCTGTAGCGCCTTCTCACAGCTGGGGAGCAGAGGAGACCGAGGCCATTGAGCACTCAGCCCCCCGGGCGGCCCAGAGCCGGCTGGTAAACGTCAGTGGCTGTTGTTACCATTGATCGCTATTATTTCCGGTCAAGCTGTTGATTTCCGTAACCACGACCTCCATGAGCGTAGGCCTGGCATCGGATTCCTTATCCCTGTACCCAGTCAGACTCAAGGCTGGTATTCACTCACTCAACAAATATTTATTGAGCACCTACTATGTGCCGGACACTGAGCTAGGGGGACACAGCAGTGACTAAACAGGCAAAACTCCCTGCCCTCAAGTTGTTAACTTTCTAGGGGGCAGCAACATAAAATGAATGAATGAGTGAATGAAGAGCCCCTTCTGATAAAAGAGAGGACTTAAAGGTCGACAGCTGTGATCTCCTCTACTCTGGGGTTCATAAAATTTAGACACAATATTTGACTCAACATTTGACGCCCTGGAAAGTCAAGTGGGAACGCTGGAGACCCCACAGCCCAGCCCTCTTCCCACAGGTCACTCTGAGGGGTGTGTTCTGGTGTGAGGACCTCAGGCAAGATCCTGCCACCCTGGCAAGGACTCTGTATGCTACTCACGGCCACAGCAGACCCATTCCAGACACAGTGGGGTAGGGAGAATGGGCAAGAGCTGGAGCCTGAGGGAAAAGGCCCTCATGAGAAGAAGGTGGGCCTCGGGCAGCTGGGTCCCGGAAGCCAGGGCCAGGGGGGTCTGGGGAGAAAACTCCTGTAAGGGTGGTGAGGGGGGAACAGGTGGATTAGGAGAGAGCAAGTATACAGATGCCAAGTCCTAACGTGGAGGCTGGATCTGCAAACAAGAGCTGGAAAGCCTTCATTCCAAGGGGATACTGAGGCCCAGAGAGGGGCTGTGTGGAACCAAGGTCACACAGCCCATGGGTACAACACTGGGACTAGGTGCTCCTGACTGCATTCCTTACTGCCTGAGCACTGGGGACCCTCCGGCACAACCTGCCCCCCGACCCCAACACACACACCCTGTCCTGGTCCCCTGCACTCACCATCCTGGCCAGCAGCTCATCGCCCCTGCAGAGGTGCATGGCTTGGTCAGGGAGAGCAGAGGCTTTCTCCGGGTCTGGGGCGTCCCTCAGCACCATGACCTCCTGGTGCCCTCTGGGGCCCAAGGAAGTGATGGCTTTTTAAACTCCCAGTGGCCACTCCGCCCCCAGCCAGCCAAGTTTCAGTTTCTCCTAAAGCCACCGGCTGCTCAGAATCCCTGGCTCAGGGCTGCTCACGTGGCTGGAATTTCCTAACTTGAACTGGTCTTCCGGTCAGACCCCTTCTCCCTGAGGAGGACGGTCAGGCCCCTTCTCCCTGAGGAGGACGGTGGAGGGTGGCCAGATTGGGGCGGGGAAACCAAAGGCCAGGTGTGGAGAGAGTGTTCTGGGGGGAAGGAGGGCAGGCTGCCAGGGACAGAGCTGAGAGGATTTCTGGAGGATCCCATTGGGGGATGAGGGCTGATGGGGACTGGGAGAGCCCCTGGGCTCTGGGATCAGAGGAGCCTAGGCTCACTGCCCACCTCGGGCACATTGGAGCTGTGCAGCTTGAAGCAAGTGACTCGCACTCTCTTTAGTTTCCTCACCTGTAAATGATGTGAGAGGATGATATAAATACCCACTTACAGGCTTGATGTGGGAACTAAGCAAGCTAATCCAACCACGCCCAAATCCTTCCCAGACCAATGCTGAGGCATGTTTGTAAAAATAAGCAATGGCCTCAAAAGGTTTCCCATGCCCTTAAATAGGGAAGCAGATAAATTATGGTGTTTTCATGCAACAGACCACGCAGCAGTACAGAGAGCATCATCTAGTGGTTAGGAGCCCAGCTTCCCAGCTATGTGACCTCAGACCCATAATTTCGCCACTTTATACCTCAATGTTCTAATCTGTAAAGTGGGGACAAACTAGTTTTGTGGTGAAGATTAAATGAGTTAAGGCAGGTAAAGCACTCGAAACTAGGGTTGGGGCAGAATAGGGCTCAAAAGGTATTTGCAGTTGCTTCTGTTAAGGGTGATGGAAAAATTTGGGAACGGTTACTGATGATGGTTGAACAACGTGATGAATATAATTCATGTCACTGAACTGTACACGTGAAGCCTGTAGAAATGGCAAATGATCTGTTACCTACTTACAACAATAAAAAAATTAGGAGGTTATGATCTGGTGGCATGGCTTCCGGCATCACAGCAACACACGCGCCACCACAATACAACACGCTGACAGATGGGGGTGTGGAGCAAACGCTGAAGCCCTAGGAAAAGTTGCATAGTTGCTGAATCTCCAAGAGAGACCACGCTTGGAAACGACATCTGTTTAGGGGATGGAGGAGCCGGTAACCTCTGTCCAGGAACAACATGGCAGCTGATGTGCAGTGTGTGGGTATTGTGGTCTGGTGACTGGAGTATGGATGTCGTGCCTGGGTCCTAATGGCTGATAGTATGGGATCATAGAAATGGGGAATACTGCAGATTTGATCTTCTGATAGGTGATGGTGGCCTGCAGTGCTTGCGTTGAGGAGTTCCCAGCTGATTCTGAGCTTATTAGAAAAGAGTACTGCAATTGATTAGCAATGTCTGCCATTCCATGATTGTTTAGCGGTGTTTGTCATGAGCAGAGGCATGGAGCAGTGCAGTCACCTGCTATCCATGGAACCAGCTGTGAAAACCGAGTCTGGGCTTTAGAGTCAGAAGAGTGGGCTCCAAATCCTGGCACTTGACTTACCAGCCCCAAAACTGGGGCACCCAAAGCCCCACTTTTCTCATAAACACAGGAGGATGACAAATAAAGGATATCTAGTTTACAGAGTTGTTTGGACGATGGAATGGATGAGATGGGAAGAAAGCTCTTTGCATATTGTAAAGTACTACCCAGCTGTAAACAGGGTGTTGCTGTTTGTCGTGTTTATCTAGTGCTGCTATAAAAGAGGAGCCCTGGTGGTGCAGTGGTTAAAGTGCTTGGCTGCTAACCAAAAGGTCGGTGGTTTGAATTCACCAGCTGCTATGCGGGAGACAGACGTGGCAGTCTGCTTCCGTGAAGATTCACAGCCTGTATGGGTCAGTTCTACTCTGTCCTATAGGTCATTATGAGGTTTTTTTTCAGTGGGGCTATAACAGAAATACAACAAGTGGGCGGCTGTCTTAGTTATCTAGTGCTGCTATAACAGAAATACCACAAGTGGATAGCTTTAACAAACAGAAGTTTATTCTCTCACAGTCTAGTGGGCTAGAAGTCTGAATTCAGGGCGCCAGCTCCAAAAGAAGGCTTTCTCTCTGTGTCGGCTCTGGAGGAAGGTCCTTGTCATCAATCCTCCCCTGGTCTAGGAGCTTCTTGGCACAGGGACCCCAGGTCCAAAGGACATGCTCTGCTTCTGGCACTACTTTCTTGGTGGCGTGAGGTCCCCGTCTTTTTTCTCCCTTCTCTCTTTTGTATCTCAAAAGAGATTAACTGAAGATACAGTCTAATTTTGTAGATTGAGTCCTTCCTCATTAACACAACTGCCTCTAATCCTGCCTCATTAACATCATAGAGGTAGGATTTACAACACATAGGAAAATCATATCGGATGACAAAATGGCGGACAATCACACAATACTGGAAATCATGGCCTAGCCAAGTTAACACACATTTTTTGGGGACACAATGCAATCCATAACAGTGGCTTGAAAACCAAATATTTATTTTCTCACAGTTTAGGAGGCTAGAGGTCCAAATTCAGGGTGCTGGCTCTCGGGGAAGGCTTTCTTTCTCTATTGCCTCTAGAGGAAGGTCCTTGTCTTTTTTGAGCTTCTGTTCTTTGGCGATCTTTGTGGCGTCTCTCTTCCCCCATCTCTGCTTACTCCTCTGTCCGAATCTGCTCTTTTTATATCTCAAAGGTGATTGGCTCAAAATACACCCGACACTAATATGGCCTCTTAACATAACAAAGAAAACCCATTCTCAACTGGGATTATAACCACAGATATAGGAGTTAGGATTTACAATGCCTATTTTGGGGGGACACAATTTAATCCATAACACTGTTTATATTGCTAGAATCCATCCCCTGAGATTTGTAGGGACATATTCTGGATTCTAGGATGAGTACAGGCTCATAATTAAAAATGCCTGGGTGAGCAGGATTGGGCATGAAGGCTGGGCCTTGCCCTCTTTGCTTCTGAGGGGTCTGAGGGCAGAGGCTAAAGTGGGGCCTCCATGCAGTGAGGCTACCCCTATTTCTCTGAGTTACTTTTGCTTCTCAGAAGCCAGGAGGGCTGGGGTATCTTGCCTGAGGCAGGCACCTGTGGGGCTCATTAAGCCAGGCCAGGAGCTCCACAGGGAGGGGCCCGGAGCCATGTGTATGATGCAACCAAGGAAAAGCATCAGGAGGGGCTACAGCCCAAGAGTCCCCACCCCAGCACCCAGCCCCAGGCCTGGATTCCCCCCAACCCACTGTTTTCCCCTCTCTAGACCCCAGCTCTGGGTAGAAGGGAGACAGCAGGTATGCCAGCGGCTCAGGCCCCTGCCAGGAGGCCACAGCCCTGGAAGGAGACCAAGGAAGACAGCGTTTATGTCTTGATCTCCCTGAGGAGGCGGTTGGCGACAGCAGTGGCAGGAAGAGAGGGACATGAATGGGTAATGTTTAACTACGAAAAGCCGGGTGAGGCTTCCAGCGGTGGACACCTCCCAGACTGACAGATGAGGCTTTCGGGGTCATCCAGTGCAACCCCTCACTTAGAGGGCGAAGAAAAAACGAATGCCCAGAGACGGCTGTGACCCACTGAAGGTCACTCGGTGGGCGGGGTAGAGCTGGGGGGAGCACACGACTGTCTCCTCCCAGCCCTCAGTCCTTCTCCACAGTCAGCTTGGAAGGGCCTGGTCCTCCACCTTTTCCATGAGCAAAGCCCGACACCCCGGTGGGTGGGGGCTCGGAGGCCTCAAATACCAGAGCTACAAAGTGAGCTCCTGGGGGCAGGATCTTTGCCTGTTTTGCCCTCTGAGGTATCCCCAGTGCCTCAAACAGTTCCTTCACAAGCTGGGGGCTCAATTAACAAATAAACAAATGCTAGTTCAGCAGGCAGCTTGCCACGGGACCCCAAGCGCTTCCTGAACGAGAAAAGAAACCGCTGTTGTACTTGTTTCCACAGGACCTGCCCGAGGATCCTGGGGAACCCTCCCCAGTCAACTTCCTTGTTTTCTCCGTGAGGAAACTGAGGCACAGGGAGGGTACCGTTATCGGGCTGGTTTGGGAGAAGCCAGGATGCCTTGACACCCTGTCCCAATCCCTTGGCACACCTGCTGCAGTTGGAGAGACACCTCGGGCCCAGCTGCCCAGGGAACTCATGTAGGTCTCCTCACGCCGTGCACCCCTTGTTTGAGGCCTGGCCTCCTCGGGGCACCCCAGGGAACTGTAGATGGCGGGCAGCTGAGAAAGAGACCAGGCGGTAGCTACTGGGGTGGTAAGCCTGGCCGGCTTCCCACTCACTGTGAGTGGAAGCTAACTCTCAGCCAGGGGGCGTTTATAACCAGGCGGGGTACGAAACACACCGCGTGAAACACACCGATGCCACAGCTGCAGGGCAAGGCAGGAAGGTGACAGGACTGCTGTGGGGAAGCCTGTGGGGTGGGGCACCTCCTGCTGCGAGGTCAGGGAGGCTTCCTACCAGTGGCTTTGAAGCATGGGCAGGGCCTGAAACAGTGCCTGGCAGCCTGGCACGAGGAACCCAGACCTGGATGGAGGCAGGCTGCTTGGGCTGATGGTGGGCAAACCACCTAACTAACCTCTTTGTGCCTCAGCTGTAAAATGAGGCTAATAAAGTACGAACTTGACAAAGTAACATTTGCAAAGGGCTTAGCACACTGCCTGACATACGGTAAGTCACATCAATGTTAAACTGTTAAAAGCACTCAGTAAATATCTGATGAATGGACACACATAACAACAAGCTTGTATTTTGTTTCATTATTATTATTTAAAGGATCCCTGGTGGCACAAACGATTAAGTGCTCAGCTGCTAAGCGAAGGGTTGGTGGTTTGAACCCATTCAGCTGCTCCATGGGAGAAAGATCTGACAACTGCTTCTGTAAAGACTGCAGCAAAGAAAATCCTATGGGGCAGTTCTGCTCTGTC